TTTTTGTGTTAGGATTCAATATTACCACATTGAATTTCAACCTATTTATAATCTAAATGTTCTTTGTCTTCTTCATGGTCCAAATGGTGATCTTAACGGAAGGCATGAGATCCCTATAGTTCGGCTTCTGTCTGGGATATGCCAGCGTTTGAGAAACTGATGGCTTTTGATATTTTACGTTACATTTAAAACCTTAAAGTCACCATCTTTATTTAACAGTATGTTAGGTAACAAGGAAAATAATAGATGATTTGGAAACACCTGAATTTAGAAACAAAGTGACAGAGCACAGAATATCAAGTTTGTGTTGGAAACACATTTTAGTAGTGTTGGTTACGTTAGTTCAGGGAAATAACAGGAGAAAAGTAAGTAGGAACTAGAAAAAAGAGAGTGAAAGAGCTCTAAGGGAGGTTATGCAGTTCTTACAGAAACCATGGGAGAAGGCTTTAGAAGAACGAGGTGAACCAGTGCCAAGCACAGGATCCAGTAGGACGAAGGCAGAGAAAAAATAATTACACAGCCAATGCAGTTGTTTTCCCCTCAAAAAAAAAATATATTTTTTTTAGAAATGAAAGAGGCACATTAAAATATTTTACAAAGCCTCTCATATTATCGAGACCCTCTTAAGTAACAACAAAGAGATATTTGGGAAGGCACTACAGCATTAGATCACCTCTTATCAATTCTAGTTTTAAATGGTCATAGACTTAATGGAATCCATTAAAAAGGAGTCAATAAAATTTAATAAAGATTTAATTCTTCTTCGTTTCATCTCATTTTAGCATACTCTTTTAAAAAATTGCTCATAGAGCAATACTTTGAGTACAAGTAGAAATCCTAATATACACAAGATACGTAAAAATACCAACTACATTAAGCTACGTGAATGAATAGTTTTGATTTGGAAAAAATTTCCAAGGCCAGGGTCATATGCAAATTCAAAAAAGTGCTCTCTTTCAATCAATGGAGATAGGAGCGAAGACACTGTGCCTTAGAAAGCTGTAAAGTAGTGCTAGTGATGACAGACACCAGAGTAAAAGAAGAAGAAAGTATTTAGAATACAGTTATTCCATGAATTGAAGGAAAAAGCCCTCAGCATTTCTAAATTAATTTTATACAATGTGACTTTAAATACTTACGTTAAACTAAATAAATATCATAAGGTAACATACAGTAGTTCATCCACATTTCTAAACTTCATAAATTCAAATGGACCTAAAAAACACTTTGAGAGCTACTCTCTTGGGGGAAGAGGGCGGATATAGCTTTATGCTCAGGCACATCTGCAGTATATGAAATACAGCTAATTGGCTATTAGCTAAAATGAAGGCTGGTAGCCTTCCATATACGAAGGGCAGCATAAAATGTGGAGACGAAAGTCAGATTTCAGGGGATTTCGGGATATACTCATATTAAACACACAGTAGATAAAGAAACATGTCGTTCAATTTGTTTGTGACGGGGGAACTCTGTGAAAGAGAAAACATATCAAGGAAAGGTGTTCACGTTTCCAAACTCAACAAACATGACACTTGCTGATATGGAGGAATAAGGCAGGGAGGTAAAGGGGATCTACTCAGAAAGACAGGCTGCAACAGCTCAGGAGCTTAGCTACCAACTCCAACTTTATCTTTGTTACCTGTTTAAGAATTTATTCTTATTAGCATTGTTTCCTTTCACACATACAGAGAAAAAAGTGATATGTTTTATTTTGTTGTATCATTTACATAAAGGGAGTAAACTAGTATATGCTTTACTTTTAATAGGAAAGATGAAGCATGATTTAGCTCTTGACCATCCAGGAATAAGTTAAATACTTTTCCCCAAGTTATAGAATCAGTATTTGGCAAATAAGAATTGACCTTTAAGACAAATTATTTAACTTAAAAAAAAAAAAATTCTACCTAAACTCCAGCAATTCATTGGTTATAAGGTTGAAGTGAGTTTAAATCATGTATATAGACAAAACACCTTTTGTACTTATTACAAATTAAATTAACAAATAAACAATGTCTCCATTACACCATCATGACAAATGAGCATTTTTTTTTTTTTGGAGACAGAGTCTCACTATGTCTTGGGTAGAGTGCCATGGTGTCACAGCTCATAGTAACCTCAAACTCTTGGGGTTACGCAATTCTCTTGCCTCAGCCTCCCAAGTAGCTGGGACCACAGGCACCTGCCACAACACGCAGCTACTTTTTGTTATAGTTGTCATTATTGTTTAGCTGGCCTGGGATGGGTTTGAACCTGCCACCCTTAGTGCACGTGGCCGGCACCATAACCACTGTGCTACGGGTGCCGAGCCGCAAATGAGTGTGTTTAAACCAAATGTTATTTATACAAACAACTTCTTTCCCTGGAGAAATTCAAGTATATTAGACAAAGTTATGCAACAAATATATATTTTTCCTTATTTAAAACAAATACACCAAGACACCAAATAGCACCAAAAAGGGAAAAGAATTTAGTTCCACTTACCAAAAGGTGGGAGATCCTTTACAGGAACTTTCTTCCTCGAAGGGTAAAGGGACACAGCAGGAACCTGCAGTCCCTGGGTGGTTTTATGTGGTGGTGGTGGTGGTGGCTGTTGGGGCTGCGGCTGGGGCTGGGCTTTCTGCTGGGACCCGGCTCTTGGTGCCACGGGGGAGGTCTCGGATTTGCCTGGCTTTTTGTCACCAGGATTCTTAGGCACTGATAATGGTTTGGTTTGAAAAGAGAACAAAGGGTTTAAGACATTAGTAGCTATGCAGAAGATAATTTTAGAATGGCATGAACATTTGCTACAGTTAGAATATTAAAACGCACATCTTTTTTCCGCATTGCCTATATAAAGGACAGAAATTGGAGGCAGTACCCTAGTTACAAAAATATTAGGGGCATTTTTACTTTATGAAATTAATCTCAAAGGATGATTATACTTTTTTTTTTT